CCCCAAAACCCCAAAACCCCAAAACCCCATGTAAGAGACAAAGGATCAAGAATTTAAATTTATAAATGGAAGACCAGCCCGCATTTAATTTAAGAGGTGATCAGAAAGATCTAGAAAATCCTTTTAGTGAAGAAGATCTTAATGATCTTGAGGATGTTGTAGAAGAGCAATGGGAGCCATACCAAGGAGAACCTCTTGATAATGGACCCAACACTAAAGATCTTGTAAATAATCCAATGGATTCTTCTCAAAACCCTCAAGGGGAAAACCAAAATGGAGATGCTGCTCAAGTTCAACCTTATGAGGGTGACTCAATGTAATATTCTATCTTTGATTATAACTTTAGTGGTAAAGAAACTGAGCAAGAGAAGATGTTGAGAGAACTTGCTGAGAAAAAGAAAGAAATGGAAGAAAATAAACGTCAAGAATACATAGAGAAACAAAGAAAATAAGAGGGAATACGAAAACGATAATATTGGTATCATTAAGGGTAACATCTCTAGCTGACCTTGATATTAAATACAAAACGAGGCTTATAAAAGAAGAAGAGATCAGAGAGCAAGCTAAAGGACTAAAATTTGTGCCTTTGAAATGTATTGAAAGGGTATATAGTCTTCCTCTACAGTATTTTGCTTAAGTTCAAAACTCATATGCCTCTTATTTAGGTTGCTAAAGCTCCTGATACAAATCTTGAGGAATATTTCACAATGGGAATTATTTCTGGAAAAGCTATCGTTCCAATGAAGAGTAGACCAAATGAAAAGTTTTATAGTCTAACATTTACTGATCTCAATAGATGTGATGACGTTATTGCTTTACTAGAGAGATCAAAAACGATTTATAAAAATGAACTTGCTGCATACAAAAAATTTAATATCACAAAAGGTGGATACAAAACAGTAGACTGGCTGATCTTTAAAAGTAGCGGATTAAAGTTTATGGTAAGATCAAACAATAATAAAGAATAGGACTTTGAAGTAGGGGATGTAGTTGCAGTCCTAAAACCAACTGTATTCCAGAACAACGATAGCCCTCAATGCAAATTTGGAATCAAAAATGTTTCAAATTTCTTAAGGGTTGGAAAATCAAAATATTTTAAACTTTGCAAAGACAAAAATTGCGGGGAATTTGTAAATGCAAAAGAGTTCCATCTCTGCCAAAAGCATCAAGATAAGGAAATTAAATTTACAAGACAAGAGATCCAAGCAAATAGAGCATTCTGCAGAACTGATATTGCTTATGATCATGAGTCAAGAGCATCAAAAGAAGCCAATAGAAGGAAGATAGCAAAAATGGGATTTGTGAGATCTTCTGATATGGAAATCACAAATTACTCAAAACCTTTAAAACCTGCTCCTTTTAGAGATTTCACTGTAAGAGAAATGCCTCCTCCACCCGTAATGACAGAAGAACAAAAGAAGAAAGAAGAGAAAGTTGTTCTTACTGAAGAACAAAAGCAAGAGAAAAAGAGAGAATTTAAAAGAAAAATGAAAGAACAGAACCAAAAAGCAGAAGAAAAACTAAGCAGACTCTTCAAATCAAGAAATATGAAATCAGCAGTAAGAAGCCAATATTTACCTTTGAATTTTCCTGAAGCATGATTCTCTATAATCATCTTCTTTCTTTTGTCCATCTAAACTACCAATTCTGATAGGAAGCACAATTGCACAAAAAGGTGAAGACAAAGGAGAGAACATTTATTAACAATATCCACGCTCCTCACAAGGAAAATAAAAAGCCTAATTTTGTCACGATGGAGGAAGAAGACGACAATATTGACATCTCTGCTTACGCTCATCTCCTTAAAAAGACTCCTGAAGAACCAAAGAAGCCAAAGTTTGATATCAAGAAAGGAATGAGTCTTTCAGGCCTAATGAAACAAAAGAAGTAAATATTAATCCTTCTCATAACTTGGGCTCAACAGAAAATATATTAAATGGGGTTTTGGGGTTTTGGGGTTTTGGGGTTTTGGGG